AGCGAGATTTTTTTCGACCCATCCACGCCCTTCGGCTGGAGTACGGGGAAATCGAAAATTTTGTTCACACGCTAGAGATCTCGTGTTCATGCAGTTAATTAGAGTTTCGAATGATGATTCTAGGTTGCGCGCGGAATCGGAACTCGCTTGTTCGTCAGGTGAGTTATGTTAATATCAACATTGATCTTTCTAATGGTCCATAGAGAGTCCGTAGACCAAAAGTGTATCTGAAATCGGCCTCGACAACCCTTGAAGGCTTTCTTTCGACTCAGAATTTTCCGCTCTTTCCGATGGTTAAATAATCACAATTGCATCTCTTTTCCTTTCTTCCGTACAAGACAGATACCGAGAATCTTCTAGGTGCCTGTTTTCAGCTCATAAGTTGATCTAGACTATCTCCGTGAAGTACTTTTTACCGTAGATACACCCTCCCATGATGCTTCAATAGCACCAGTTAAATCCAGATAAAAGAATGTCTCTGGTACCCTTCTTCGCCATGCACTGAGAGGGTTGTACCATCGTCTTATAGGAGCCGCAGACATCGATGAATCTCATCCAAAACTGTCCAGATACAGTTCAGAGGATTACTTCTAGCGTAAAATATCAGTCTGTATTGAATACGGACATATCCGATGCTACAACTTCGTTCTATCTCAAGAGAAAAAGCCTCGAATAAGGTTGGAGGTATCCTTTCTATCAGAAGTTAGTTTTTCAAGTTGATGCTCTGCGGCAATAATCTTGTCCTAGCATTACCACACTGTGAACGTTGAACAGCTGCGACTGCGACTTCCTTTAAAAACTTTCGGTGGCCGTTATTTTAGGTAGGAAGTCAAGCAACACTCGCATGTGACCTTTGTGCGCATTAGTGATAAAAAAAGACTTACCCCTCACTCGTTCTCATCTATCAAATATGCTTAGAGTCAACTGTGCGGCCTGTATTCTCTCGTAGCAATATATTGTCTCGCACGAAAGGAAAAGATTCCCTTTTCTGAAAGAAAGGGTCTTGCAAACAGAAGATGTTTGTGTGTCTGTCCGTCCAATCAATCAGAAAGCAGTATTCCGAAATTAGCGCGGAAAAGCCGAGTTTTGTTCCGAAACTGATTGGCTACAGGTAATCAAGCCTCGTGAATCAGAATCTGGGCTCAGTTTTGCTCGAAACCCCATTGGTCAACCAGGAACCAATGAAAATCGCGTTGTCGGAAAAAGTTATCCTTGATGGGTACTTTGATGCAGGGAGTTCGAATTTAGTGACCGTTTACGTCGAAATTCTATTGATTGACTGGGAATCAATGGAAATCGATTTTTTTGAAAAATGGTTTTGTAGATGTAATTTGATGCGAAGAGCTCGAATCCGGACTCAAACTGCCTCACAATTCTACTGGTTACCCAAGAACCAATCAAAATCGAGTTTTCGAAAACGTGGTCCGTGATTGGTAGTTGGATGTGGGAAGTTCGAAACTGACCAAGATTTGCCTAGAAACTCGATTGATCGACTCGCAACCAATGAAAATCGAGATATCGAGAGAGTAACCGACTGTAGCAGTTTTAATGCGCCAATTTTGGATTTAAGCTTCATTAGCCTTGGATTTTGATTGGTTCGCGAACAACTAGTGGGCATCGAGTTTAGGAATGTTGAATGACCACCGGCAATTGATTATAGAGGGTTTAAATCCGATTTCTGTCTGGTAACACTACTAATCAATCAGTCAAGAATAATTCTTCATGTCGTTTTGAGTGCGGATGTTTATCAAATAAGCATAGCAAAATGGGAAAGAGCGCTCTGTTTAAGTCGGCTACGTCACCGTGCTCGTTCATAAGATAACGAGATTTCAGTCAACTGCTGTATGGATGTTTTATTTTGTCAGATTCTGACTTTTCGGATTTTATCCTCTATTTGAAGTTATGTGTAAAATGAACTATGATCCGAGTGTCGAATTAGTCTTTTCGAGAAATCATATAAGCGTCAAATAAGGAGAAATTGTCTAAGATGGCATTCACCAATTCAAATTGATTAGAATCTGGTTTTACACATATTTTTGTACGATTCAGTTCATAGGATCACAAAACATTGCTTATCGAAGACACAACGGGCGACGAGTCAGGAGTGTACTAGCCTGGTTTCGAGCTAAGATTTTGTCCCAGAAACAATAACCTAATTCTAGAGTCTCTGATCGACGATACCAGGTAGAAAATCATGGATTTCCCATTCTCGTGTGACCACTCAGTTTATTAATTAAGAAGCAACAGCTTAAGTTGAAGGGACACTGGAAGAGATTCTGTGCGCCGCGACTATTGTCATGACTTTATGTCAAAAAGTTTCAGAGTGCTGTACGCGATTGAAATCATCCAGATAAATCGTTAGGTCTACATTATCGCCTCACGAATGTGTGTAACGAACATGAACAAGCCAAATTATCTCACCGTTTTTTATCCCTATAGACGTGCTCGAATCCTCTAGGACATAGCAATGCATAAATCAGTTAGGACGAGAGGCCAAAGAAGAAGGCCAACAAGATGGATGCACGCAGCTTCGACTTTGAGATGTTTCCTATGCTGTATGGACAGCGATACATTTCGCTTCCTGAAAACTTCGCCATTAAAACAAAACCTACGTGGGAAATAAAGACTAGTCTCGTCGAAAGTTCGGTAGTACCTTACTCGATATCTCTGTTAGTTCAACTCATTGTTTTAGTAGCATTGTCGTTTTCGATAAGTCAGCCCCAACTTGCTTTTCCGAGATTGCATCTCAGGAATAATACTTCTAGAGGACGTTAATGAAAGATTCGTATGATTCTCCATGCGTTAATATGAGCAGTTTTTGTGAGGGAAGTTTTGAAATCAGTGACACATCGGTCGAAACTCGTGGAGAGTCGGGAGTGGCGCCCCGGTAGGGCGCCGACGACCGACTTGGAGACGACATTCGTCCTTCACGTAGAGTGACATGTTACATAAAATTTCACTGCCAAGTATCAGACAGGTATTATCAAGGATAATTACAGAGAGGGCTCACAAATTCTAACTGAGTTCAAACTGAAATTATTTTTGATATCAGTATCAGTCATGTGACACTTTCATAGAAACAGATCAGTCGAGCATCTAAAATCCAATATCTCACAACTGAATTGGGAATGAAGATCAGTCTTACGCGCTAACCGCTCTTAACCGAGAAGAGGTTGTCATGATGAAAGTTTTTCTAGTTCTTGATTAAAATACACGAGCGAAGGTAGATGCATCGTACAATTTTGGATTTTCATTGGATGCACCAAGTGGGAGAGTTACTCATTTCTTGATCCACTTCTTTGAGAAAGCACTCAGTATTCCAATTCATTTTCCAGTGAAAGAACAGGTTTCAATAATTCGATCAATCAGATTATTGAAGTGAAGGGAAACAGAAATAGGTGTTATACGAATAGAATGGCGATCGTATATCATATTTCTCATCTTGATATAGTAGCAGCAGTCTCATACAAACATCATCATCCACTGCTCGACCCTCAGGTTATGTGAACTGCATAGCTGAATCGTATCTGTAAAACGCGTAATGTATCACATCGAGACAAGGTTTGCACCAGTTATGTGAGCAAAGTAAGTTATCTTACAACTACGTATACACACAGCGAAAAACACTGAATGCTACTTTCGAATGAAGTTAGTTGCGCACAACAATACAGTACCCCTTATCAGACTATTGTGACTGAAGAACCCAATTAGGACTGTTCAGAAAAGGGTCAGCGAATCTGTGGATGAGCGTTACTTGTGATGTTACGATGGCACAATATCCAAATAAAGTCGATCAATTTTCAAGTAAGTAAAATAATAAAATTGAAGCGACAAGATTGTTTACCGATGAGGAGTCAATTTTGACTGTTACCATTTTCTTTCGTTGAAATGATAAGATTGCAAAGTATTTATTTGTCACGTTTTCTTCTGCGTGAAAAGGACAACGAGCAAAAGAACTGATATAACTATTTACTTTGATATTGTTTTTAAGATCTGCACACATCAACATTATCTTAACTTGAAAAAGGATCTTTTGAAAAATAAAAGTAAGTCGAACAAGATTAAAGTGATCAAATAGTCGAAAAAAACCAAATATCATCTTCATATATTTATGACGTTTTGTTTAGATTTGAACTCCAATCTAATCTGCATCAACTTAATTCAATCCATGGACAGTCAATTTGTTCTTCGTCGTGCTGATCTTTCTGATGCTGAAGCACTAGCTAAACTTTCTGAAAGAACATATCGAGAAACATTTGTCGAAGTTTTTTGTGTTGGTTATCCTGAAAAAGATCTCATTTGTAATTTTCGTTCATCAGCTGGTCCAGAGTGGTTCTCTAAGACAATAGTTGATTCACATCAAGCTGTCTGGGTGATAGAAGATCAAACAAATGGTGAACTTGTCGCTTATGCTGTTGTTGGTCCTGCTCATATCAATGACATTCCTCGTCCTGATCTGTGTTCAAATCTCGATGGAGCACTGAATCATTTGTTTGTTCAACGTAATTGTCGATCTCGTGGATTGGGAAAAAAATTAATGAATGTTATCTTAGGTTGGTTAGAAGAACATCATCCAGGAAGACCGATATGGCTCAATGTGTGGTCAGGAAACGTAAAAGCCCAGAAATTTTATACACCTTACGGTTTCATCACAGTTGGGGAAGCTAATTTTCCTGTTGGAGAATGGACAGATCATGATTTTATTATGAAACGTCAACCTAATAAAGTTTAATTTTTTGGTCTTCTGGGATTTGATTTTCAATCGTATCTAACATACATTAAATTATCAAAATCATCATTATTGATTTGAAATTAGATGCAGCTTTGAAAAAAATTCTAAATGACGTTTTAAATGGAAAATATGTTAGATCTCTTTAGATATAAATAGCACAATCCATTGAATATCTTCATTTGAATGATGATATCTCAACGGACCACCTTACTTGTCTATTGATATCGCGAGTCCTGCAAGACACTAAAACTCATCAAAAGTAAATCCCAATTCTGATCTTTTCATTTTTTTCAAATCACATTCGCATAACAAAGTGTGACCAATGATAATGAGTGACGTCTCACATTATCGAAAGAATAAAAACCGAAAGAGGTTACTTGAACAGTTCTTGTTATAAGTGTCCGCATCAGTCAACGATGAGATGAACGAAAATGTCTTATGAAAATTTATCTTCGTCTTCTCTCCTTTCATGAAAATTACTTAAGAGTTGCAGTTGGTCATTATATCTACTCAAAGAATTAGTTCAAAGAAAATAAAAACCAAATAAGTTTGATTGTTTGGTAGATATTGTTCCATGTTGGAAATGTGCTAGAATAGTAATCTTTTGGTTAATTGTAAATTGAATTATTTGGAGATTTTAATGTCGTCTATTCAATTGTTCGATAACCAAATGAACGAGAGTTCGGTATGGTCAGCTATCGCAGTCACTCACAAACGAGGAAGGTTCGAAGGGAAAAGTAAGCGAAGCTGAGTCTAGCGTTGGAAAGAACATTATCGACACTTTTTCTCGACAGTCTAGGTTACGTTAGATATATAAGAACTTTCTCGAGGATAACTGCATAGGAGAACGGTTGTGAAAACCTCTCTGAAAAAGATCAATTCATAGCAAAAATAACTTTCCAATTGGATCATAAATGAAAGAAGACAACGTCAAATGGTTCTGCTTTTTTTTGTTACTTCAACGTCAGTTTTTGGGAAGAAGACGAAATTTCGTAACAGGTAGTATTGTGTAGATAGGCTAGCTCCGACTAAACGAAATTCAGTGAAATTTTTTCTGATGTGAAATCTAGCTGGTCTGTAACTGTAACAAGTAATGCTCGTCCGAGGACTCGCTCAGCTCTTTCTCGTAGAGGTGATGTTTCTGAGCTATCAGCGAACTATTTATTTATAAAATTTCAAAAAACTAACATTGGATTCGAGTTCATCGATCCCGATTATCCTTCAGTCAACTCTTATATAAAAACTTTTTGTAAAAAAACATCCTCTGTCTAAAAAAATGGATATAAAAAAAGTTTTGAACAACTAACGTCAAATTCGAACTCTCCACCCTCAAAAATCCTTTGGTCAAGTTTTAGTCAAGAGATTAATAAAATGTCTTTTCGACCTTTTGCGGACATCCAAGCAAGCAAGCAAAGAATTTCTTTTTGCAAGACTCTTCTCGACGAGAAAGAGAATAATGATTCGCAGATACAGTCAAACCTCTATTAATGAACACCCCTCCTTAGTGATCAACCTCTTATATTGAACACCCTCCAGAACGACCGACGAGATTTTGCTGGTTTTGACCCCCTCCTAGCTGATCACCTCGCGATTCTGAATATGAACGGCTTTTTTCGGAACCTGCTGCATGAATCGCCCTCTCTTATGTGAACGTCTATAGATGGCGCTGTCTTTTTCCCGCCATAACAGCAGTTCCTATTGGTTGAAATCCGATTGGCTAAAGAAAAAAAAGAATCATGTGAATTAGAAATGAAACAATTAGAATCACATCTATTAGTGAATGTAAATCAGACGTCTTTCTCCTTTGTTCGAAGGATAGTCTTTTGTCATTGTCAGATTCGGTATGGCATCTCGTCAGAAACTTTCTCTGGAAGACAAGATGGTGCTGATAAAAGAAAAAGGAAGAGGGCTTTTTCGTCGGCAATTGAGTGACAGACTTCAGATATCCCTCGGTGCCGTATCAAACATTCTCAAACGAAAATCGGAGTACACACATGATTACGAAATCAAACTAAGCGAACTGACATTTTGCTGGACTCCTATGTTTTAAAGCAGGCATCTATCTTTGATTGTTTCCATCTACTCCGGTAGTCTCATCAAGCGAGCGTAGGGTTCCAGAAATCAGTTTTTGTAATAATATGGATTGGAATGAGAAATACATGGTTGTAAATAAAATGCAGCTGATTACCAGAGAAGAACTTATTTCTTCTGCACGAATAAAAAAATTCGTAGATTTGCATTGACCCCCTCCTGTATGATCGCCCTGTTAATCTGAACGATTTCCTCTGGAACCAATGGTGTTCACAATAGAGGGGTTTGATTGTATTCGAGTTTTTTCCAAGATGAGAATAGATAGAAAGTATGAATCTTTGAATTTTTAGTTTAGATAAGATTTCGTCTTTCCTTATCTAAACATATTCTTGATGATTATTTGACAGAGAAAGAATTTGTTAGTTAACAGCATCAGTAAAACTCAATTTGTTTTATTTATTTTCATCTGCATGTTAGATAATTAAATCAAGGTTGAGAACTAGTCAAGGCCCAAACGACGAAGAAGAACAAGACGACAAAATCATACAATTGTCTCCTACCAAAGAAGAGAAATGCAAACGAAATCTTATAATACATTTTCAATACGAACAGCGAATGAAAAGTTGCCAAAAACAGATTCATCAAATATGGGCCAGAAATTTATCAAAAATGCCGAAAGCTCTAACAAGACGCACTTCAATCAACTGGGAGTATCCGAGAACTGAGAAGAATATCAGAAAGCGACAAAGAACAAATTTAAATCAATTAAAACAAGCACAAGACAACCTGAACGCACATTTACAAAGCGTTAAAGATTTACCGTATCAACAAAAGCAAGAGGAAATAACGATGGAACATATCGAATCATTAGACGCCATCGAGACATTCGTACATCAAAGTCTACAACCAGTCCTTACCAATTTTGAACAAAAGAAGATATTATTGGAAATCGATAGAAACGCAGTTCAACTGGTGAAATCGTTCTATGATTTGAGCCCATCATCAGATCAGGTTTACCCTTATTGCTGACTAGACACTAATATTCTATCAGTTTTTTTTAATATTTAGATTGAATTAGCCCTCAAGATTTGGTCGATAACATCGAAAAATTGTCAACAAGCCGTGGTTCAAACGAAAAATGAAACGATTCAAGATAATAATAATATAGTGACAAATGGAGAGCTCAAACACTTCCCGAAACACCTCGAACAACAAAATCGACTTTTTTCTCTTAAATTATCGGCTCCTTCAATTGCTAGTATTATCGAAGCTCGTCGAAGAAATATCGAAAAACGTGTTAAACAAATCAATGAATTCAAAAAAGCGACTCCTAAACTACAGACACCTCGTTTTCATCGTACTCATCAGACTCGCGCGAAACATTCTATTGCCGATTGAACCTGTATTCCATCTGAATGTGTATTAAAACTTCAATACCACAATTGAACGTATCTCTACTCTGTATATCAAGAAAAACCGAAATTGTTTCTGATTCATTTCATTCTGCATCTCACTCTCTACTTATGATTCAATGCTAACGTTTCCTTTTCAAATTTCTATTCGCTAATTGGTTCTATTCAACTTAAACTCAGATAGCTCTTTCTAAGTCAATTTCTCAAATGTTCCTCGATTGTAGCATTTTTCATTTCATCCCGCATTTCTAAAGCTAAATATTTACTAGTACTTGTGGAATAGATTTTCATTGACAGTCTGTTCGACAACTCTTCTTGAACAGATTCTTCCATTTCAGATAAACACATCGATGGCAATCGTAGATTTCGAAGCTTCTCTACTAGCAATAGGCAACTTGTCGATATAGATCTATCGGGAGTGATTGGATGTCTGCAGAGAGCATCATATACTTCCGTCGATTTGATATTTTGATTGACAATGAGAAAACATCGTTTTCCAAACTTGCCTGAACAATACCTTAAGCGGAGAAGCAACGTCATAGATTGCTTCCATCCTATTATTCAATTGTCAGTTGACCATCGACTATAACAAATCCTTACACATTGTCAGGAATTGAAACAGTATCGACGGTTTCAATAGGTTTTGGTATCTTATCGGCTGATAGGGAACTGAATCCTTTGTTGAAGCAAGAGCCATCTGAATGATCTGCTTGAGCAGCAGTGAAACATGTTATGGTAGCTCTTTCTAACCCTCACACACTCACCCTCACCCTCAAATCTGCATCAGCTATGGAATGAAGCATTTGATGGTATACCGACAGAGAATACGCATTTCATTGCTGACAATCAAATCAATCACAATGTGATACGTGGAATAATTCGTAGTCGTCTACCAAAAGAAAAACGCCGATAAAATGAAAACCTAAGGGCGTTCAGCAAGGTTCAAACCGATCATGGTTGCTGGACTCACTCTTACCTCCACCCTAGTCACGACACGGCACGATATTTGTTCGACGAGACTCAACTTACACGTTGTCTTGCGTCATGTGTGCACACTTTCTACTGCCGTTATAAGCAGAGAGCCAGCGCTCATCGATAAACGGTCGGCGAGAGCAACAGCGGAAGATGAAGAATACACATGTATTATCAACTGATCGGCAAACGGAAGTCTATTCAGAGATTGAAAGAGCGTTCTACTGAATCAAGTCGATGGACCTGCATTAGCGACGAGTTGACGTAGGACTAGTAGGATCCGTTCATTAGATGTTTGTGGAATCACGCCATAGACGTCAATACATGCGTGCATAGATGCAGTTCATATTTGTTTTACGATTCTGTTCATCCATGCTCATAATCCCACGGTTACCGGTGTGTTGTGATCGATACTACCTGGTTTTTCTTTTCTATTCTTTCATGGTGCTCTCGGAGTAGGAAAATTGACAGCTCATCTGAAACCTAGCATGCATCTTTTGTTCACAAAATTTCTTTATTGGTTGGCAAAGGAAGAGTTCTGATATTCACTGTGGGATATTATTGAACAGTATTCTACCTTCGCTTGCCAATCGAAGATCTGATCAGTGTGAAAAGAAAAAAGTACTTTCTCACCTTCAGACCATGTCATGCTGAATAATGAATAAGCACACAAAAGGTATGCGTTGCGCAGTGGGATAATTAATCGAGTGACGTCAGTCCAGGCGTTTCAGTGGAGGTAAGCAAACAGAGAAAGGGAAAGCAAAAAGATGCGCAATTGCCTGATCGGAGTCATGTGGTCGATGCATGCACACTGTAAATGTCGGTCTTATATCATGCTCTTCCCTTCAGATCGAGTAGACGTCGATGAATCGAGAAGGAGCATTCAGGACGCATTTGAGGAACTACTGTCGAGTGCGACATAGTGATTCATCATTCTTCTCTCGCTATGCTCTGATCTATCGAATGGCTGTGCCTAGGTAAAAAAAGAGTGGCAAATAAATTTTTCTCTCGTCTTGCTCAGGCCTACCGAGGGACTTTGATTCAGGTGGAGAGTAGCAAATGTATCTTTCTCTTACAGCGCTCTGTCCTACGAAGTGTCTCTTAGTAGGAAGGTAAGCAGCGAATAATATCTTTCTCTTGTTGAAAACAACCTGCACAGTCTCATAAAAGCGCGGCTCACTCGTTGTTTAAATCAGTATTAACGTTATCTCTTCATTGGAGTTAGTGCTTATCAACCTCTTCGAACCAACAGTGTATTCTTGCACGAATATGGAAGCCAAAGTTCTAGTCTCAGTAATAATCCTCCTGGCTATAGTTGGTTTCAGCAGCCAAGCATCCAAATGGACGTGTCCTGAAGGTTGTACTGTTATACCTATTATTGGTGGTCCTAATAATGGTGGAACTCTTTTCAC